ATATGAAATCATTTTCTTAATGACAAAAATGCTGTCAACGAGAACTGAATTTCCTTGAAATTTCTTTTATTTTTGAGAAAATCATCCACCTTGAGCTCAATCATACTTGTTATCATCTTTCTAAAAATTGCCAATGGTGTTATAAATTTTTTAAAATCTAATGGGTACTCGGTGAATTAACTAAGAATGAAGTATTTCTAGATTACAATCCAACTAGATAGAGCTCAACTAGCTAGAGCTGACCATTAAAACGTATACTTAGCCTTTGGTAAATTTGTCTATTTCTATGATTTAAGGTCACATGCCTAAACATTCTTTTATTATAAACGGCTCTATTGTACTAACACCTTTAGTTAGACAAGAGCATTTCAATTTTCAATATTAATACAATATTTTTCTAACAAATAGCTCTGCAACTGGTCTGTTAAACTTATTTTGAGTGAGTAATGCAATTAGATAAATAAATAATTCAATTCAGAATGATAACTCCTGTAATAACTAGGTTTGAAGGAGTTAGATATTATGGTATATTTTGAAAAGTATGGTAAGAACTTTATAATTAGTTTCCTCCAACATTTCAACCTTACTAGAACAATTTATTCATGTTTAAAACATCATTGAAAAGACCAAATACTATTACAAACTTACGTTCTATCCATCTTCATCTAAAGCATAACCGTGCTTACCTATTTATTCCCACAATCCCTGTATTTAATTTCCCCATAATTCATGTATTTAACATGTTATGTTTGGCATGAATTGTTTACAAAGAGTATATGTGCATGTAAATTACTAAACGGAATGTTAAAATTAGAGTATGCATGATAAGAATTCATGGACATAGGATGATATGTATGGTTTAATATAGCAGGCCATCCCAAATTGAAAGGAAATTATGCAAATTTCTATAAATTCATTATCCAAACTCCTCAAACACATTTAATAGTTCGTTATCCAAATTTTATGAAACTATTGCATCCAACATAAATTTTGTCAAAGTATAAAATAAAGCACAAGCATATTCATGATGCTGAAAACCTCTTCCCCTACACCCTTTTGGTATCTTATGATGGTTCTCAAAAACTGAATACCAAGGCATGAATCTCATCTGATTGTTTGAAGGAAAATTTTCATCAAAACTAAATGTTAGAAAAGTAAAACATGAAATCTTTGCTATTTGATGAAATCAAGAAATGATACGTACAATCAATTCAGACTATGTAAAAATAAATCTTTCTCTTGAGAAAGAAGCTTGCTCTAGTCCCTCTAAACTCTCTCTTCAATTATGAGACCATCATGGAGATTCGAGTACCAAAGTATTTTTTTTTTTTCCACGTCGGACTCGAACCCCTCCCCTCTTTATTGATGAGCAGATCATACCATTGGCCCAAATGCCCTTTGATTTATTAATTATTGTTATTACATGAACTAGTATTAATTTACTATAAATCAGATGATGATCATGAGAATGCTTTGGTCGAACAAAATTCAAAATGTGAACTTTTATAAGTTCCAAATACTTTTAAAATGATGGAAAAGTAGGCGAAGCATTCGCATGCATCATAGTTATAGTTTAGAAATTGTCCTCGCCCTGTACGGAGATGGAGCTTTTGAGGTTTAGTTACACCAAGCATAGAGATTTGAAAATGAGATATATAAATATGTATGGTCTTTGAACACGTTGTGGGAATTTGATGCTCACTTTTGGAAAGAAATAAACATCTGTTTGCCTTTTGAGGACAATGTCACACGTATATCAACAATATTATATCATTGTCACCCTAATATAAATTAGAAATAGAGTGTGTATGATAGAATTCACTATCATACACGATAGGGTTAAGTGCATTAAACCCTTCTAAATTTTCTTCTCTTTTTCAAAAAAAAACCTTAAACCATTTAAAAGACTTTTAACTCCCTAATCTATTTAGTTTGTTGCAAAACGTTAGTAAGCCATTTGAAGTCTAACTAATCGTAATAATTGATGAATACTAATTTTAATGATGGACATAATTGTAATATTTTATAAATTATGATCTTGTGATATTCATAAATATTGAATTTATTTTATGATTGAAAAATAATTTTATAGTTACGCCACTTTGACAACTACCAACCTTTACATAATATGAATATTAAATTATAATGACTAATTTATTATTAATTATATCTATTATAAAAATTAATATTTATCAATCATTACGATTGTACTACTCTGATACCAACCCTCCAAAAATGGCTCCAAAATGAAAATTAAGAGTAGATCTGCTGTTTGTGAATAACATACCAAGAGTATAGTTGTTGGGTGTGGAATAAAATGGCTTGTAGTTTGTGTTTGAAAGGCATTCAATTCATCCCTGAACTACCTTTCTGTCAATTTTTCGTACCCATTAAACCACTTACAAAGAAAAAATTAGTCTGCCCGCCTCAACCTCAAGCCTCCATCCCACCTAGCTGAAGTCAAAAGTAGTTCCATCTTGAAGTACGAACAACACAAATCATTCAAATCAATAATTCAGCCATAAAACTCGTTTGAAATGAGTAAGTTATTTGGGTGTATTTTAGATAATATGATCAAAAATTTATCATTAGTTTGCTCCAACATCTCAATTGTGTAACAACAACCTTTTATTCTCACTTATAAATATTATGAAGAAGACTAAATAGTATTACAAAATTTTACATTCTACCTTTATTCATTATAATCATGCTAACTTATTTGTTTCTATAATTCATGTAGATAGCGTGTAATTATTATTATTATTATTTTGTATAAATGATATATTTACAAGAATATATGTGCATAAAAATTTCTAAACAAAATATTAAAAATAGAGTATGTATGATCAGAATTCATAAACAAAGTATGATGATATTATTTATTTTTATAATTCATGTAGCTAGTATGTGAGGATGCCAAAGACAGCTCGGGCCAGACCCAACTCGCATAACAAAGTTTGAGCCTGATAATTGACATGGGCCCAAACTTGACGTCCACAAAGCGGACCGAGTGTAGTGGATTGACTAAAAAAGGCCTTCAAAGAAGATTCAGGCCCATAACCATTTAACCTTGAGGATAGGCCCAGCGGCGGAAGTTAGTTAAGAGTGCTTTAGAATAATGCAAATGGTCTATAAATAGAAAGGAGGAATGGGGGATCAAAATTTTGGAAGTGTAATGAAATTCTGTCAATTTAGAGAGAGAAAATTCATGCATCTTCAATGGCGCCGTCCGTGGGAAACGATGAGAATTCATTGATGATTCACTCAGATTGATTTAATCTAGTGGTATAGCGCTTCAAGACGAAGCCTGATCGTTGAAGGCAGAGTTAAGATCGGTGAAATTGTGATCGGAGAAATTAGCATTCGATCTACGCAGTTCTGATTTGTGCTTGTTTTGGAGAGTTGTGAGGTCAAGAGTCGTTGAAATTGCTGAATTTGGCAAGTTCTTCGCCGGAGCAATTTAGATCTGGTTAATCACGATCAGAATTCAGCCGCACTAGAATCCAGATCTAGAGTGTCAGCATTGGCAAAACTCAGATCTGATCAGAAATTTGCGGTTGATGACTTTGCTACGGTCCGGAATGATGATCGGAGCAAAGAGTTCGACAGTGGAGAATAACCAGCAGATGAAGCTTAATGAACTGATGAACATGATCGAGGCACTGAGAAAAGAAAATGCAGAGTTGAGAGCTGGAATGGAACGTTGAGAGGTTCTGGTTGCGCCTCGACCGCCTCCGGTGGGTGAAAGAGGCGTGCGACCTAATGACGCACATCAAGGTAAACAAGAAGGAGATAACCACGTCAATTTCCACCGCGAGGAAGTTAGGATGGAGAATTTACCGCCAAACGCTCATCGAGCTGAGGATCGAGAAGGATCTGTACATCTCGATCCTCATCGTGAGCATATCAGGCGGGATGAAAATACAGTTTTCAATCCGCATTAGGAAAGGCACAATCGCGAACAGGATATGGAGTTTGATTGTCACAAGGTTAATTCGCCGTAATTCACTGAGGAAAGGTTGTCCGATCCACCTTATCGGCCTTCAATGGCCATATATGATTATAGGGGTTCGGAAAGAAAATCTACAGATCAAAGAGTTGTTATAAGGTTTGAAAGAGATAATGAAGCCCTCCGTTCAGCAGCACGGACGATTGATTCGCCATTCATTGACGAGATCCTGAATGCTCCGAGCCCGAGGAAGTTTTCTATGCTAGTTTTCATTCTGTTCGACGGAACGACCGATCCGATTGATTATGTCTATCACATTCAGTTGAAAATGGCACTGAACACTGAGAATGATCATTTGATGTGCAAATGTTTTCCTACAAGCTTAGCTGGACCGGCACTCAATTGGTTTAAGAACCTGCCGAAGGGCTCAGTGGACAGCTTCCGTAGCTTGTGTGATCGGTTCATAAGCCAATACTATGGGAATAAGCGTCTGACAAAAGATATTTCTAGTTTGTTCACCATGAAATAGCATGACGATGAGCGTCTCCAAACTTTTCTTACCAAGTTTAACCTAACCAAGAGCATGGTGATAGAGTGTCATCCTTCCATAGCAGTTTAGGCGTTCAAGTTAGCTATGACCCGAGAGACACCGTTTCATACCAGTCTGGTGGTAAACACGCCGAAGACAATGGACGAGCTAAATGAGAGAGTTGATGGTTTCGTACGCCTGGAAGAGGAAGAAGCAGCTAATGCTAGGAAGACATCTATCATCTTCATAGAAAAGAAGTCCAAAGCGAAAATAGAGTAGAAGCAAGTTCCTACGCAACGTCAGACCTCCTGGAAGGCAGAGAAGAGGCCTAGGGAGGATGACCTGATTACACCACTCAAAGTTACACTGGCAAGGCTATACCAAGAGAACAAAGATAAGTTTCACCCTCCCTTGCCAATTAGACAACCTCTTGAGCAGCGGGATCAATCCAAACATTGTGCTTTTCATAGTGATTTTGGTCATCAGACTAATGAATGCAGGAACTTAAGGAGACAAGTGGAGATGTTGATCGCTAGGGGAGAGTTTGCAGGGTATGTTCAAGGGCTGGTGCAAGAACAAAATCGTCCAGCTGAGCAGGTCAAGAGAAACCAAAAACCAAACCACCATAACGCTCAGCCCGTACGGATTATCAACGCAATCCATGGCCGACCTGAGCAGGCCACAGAATCCGAGGAATTGCTTCGAACAAGCCTCCGCCAAACGCAAATGAAGAGGCGAGTAGGCAGTGTTAACACCCTGCACCAACAGAGCTCGGCCGTGCAGATACGGTTCGATAAAACAGACCTGATGCGAGTTCAGATTCCGCATGAGGATCCCTTGGTTGTTAGTTTGACAGTGGCAGAATGCTTGGTACGAAGAGTGTTTGTCGATTCGGGTAGCAGTGCGAATGTCATGCCTAGAGTCACTTTTGATCGGCTTGAAATTAAGTCAAATGAGCTCAAGTCTACTGGAAATCCGTTGTTAGGGTTTGATGGCAAACGAGTCGAACCAATCGGCACAGTGGAATTGGTGGTCCGAGCAGCTGAGAGGGACTTAGTCGAACGTTTTGTGGTGGTGGAGATCTATCCCTCCTACAATTTGTTGATGGGGAGAAAATGGATCTATAGGGTACAAGGAGTCTCCTCAACCCTACACCAAGTGATGAGGTGCCTAAGCCCAGACAGGAGCAAGGTGATTGATATCCATAGGGATCAGGTTGCAGCAAAAAAATGCTATTCAGTGACTCTAAAGGCCGCAGGGAAGGGAAAGGCTCCCATCCGATCTGTTAATACGCAATAACAATTACAGGAACCTCCCTTCGGCATGAGCAGGGAATATGAGCCCATGATGCTGACCAAAGAGCCTCTGGATGAAGTTCAAATTGATCATTTAAGGCCAGACCGAACCACAAAAGTGGGATCGCGACTTTTAGATGAGGAAAAACACCAGTTAATTGATTTCCTTTCTCAAAATGCAGATGTGTTCGCTTGGTGCCATTCGAACATGCCAGGGATCAACCCTTTTATCTCTTGTCACTCCCTTAATGTTGATCCGAACGTCAGGCCTGTGAGGCAGAAGCAGAGGAGGTTCGCCCCGGAACACAACCAGATCATTGCTGAGGAAGTAAACCGATTGTTAGAAGTTGGGTTCATTCGAGAAGTACAATACCCGAGCTGGTTGTCAAATGTGGTTGTAGTACAGAAGAAGAATGGAAAATGGAGAGTTTGTATTGACTTCACCAATTTGAATAAGGCCTGCCCGAAGGATAGCTTTCCACTTCCGAAGATTAATCAAATGGTGGACGTTGCAACAGGGTATGAGCGGTTAACTTTTCTTGATGCTTATTCAAGCTATAATCAAATTCATATGGATCTGAACGATGAAGAAAAGACTTCTTTTATCACCGAACGAGGGATCTATTGTCACAAGGTCATGCCGTTCGGATTGAAAAATGCTGGACTTACGTACCAAAGGTTGGTTAACAAAATTTTTAAGGATCAAATAGGCAAAACGGTGGAGGCTTACATTGACGATATGGTGATAAAGAGCAAGCAAAAAGGACATCATTTGCAGCATTTGCAAGAAGTGTTCAATGTATTAAGAAGGTATGGAATGAGATTAAATCCGACAAAGTGCTCGTTCGGCGTGGGATCAGGGCAGTTCCTTGGCCACGTGGTCAATAACAGAGGGATTGAGGTCAGCCCAACCCAAGCGGAAGATTTGCTTAAAAATACAGAACCGTGCACTATTAAGGAAGTTCAGGCTCTTACCGGACGCATAGCGGCATTGAGTCGGTTTATTTCCAAGTTATCTGATCGGTGTAAACCATTCTTTGATATAATCAGAGGTCACGGAAAGCAGGCCTGGGGGAATGAACAGAGGCAGGCACTGACCAATCTGAAAGAATATATGCGGAACCCACCAGTCTTGAATGCCCCAGAGCTAGGTGAAAAACTTTTCTTATACCTCGGAGTGTCTAGCGTTGCAACCAGCGGTGTTCTGATCCGGTGTGCTGAGGGTAAGCAGTTCCCAGTCTTTTATGTAAGCAAAACATTAGCCGAGCCAGAGAGAAAATATTCAAAGGCCGAACGAGTAATCTTGTCTTTGGTAAACGCAAAAAGGAAGCTCAGGCACTACTTTGAATCCCATCCAATAGTCGTTCTGACCACATTTCCCATAAGGGTGATCCTGCATAAGCCCGATCTGTCCGGACGAATGACGAAGTGGGCGATAGAGTTAAGCTCTTTTGATATCACGTATGAACCCCAAACGGCCATCAAAGGGCAAGCGGTGGCTGATTTCTTACTGGAGTGTGATGTGGAAGAGCCAGATGCATGTTTGGAAGAATCCTCATGGAAGCTCTTCGTTGATGGCTCCTCAAATCAAATGGGGGCAGGAATTGAGGTCAAACTGCAAACACCAGAGGGCACTGTGCTGAGCCAAGCAATCAAGCTTGAGTTTAGGGCAACTAATAATGAAGCAGAGTTTGAAGCGCTATTGGTTGGTTTAAGGTTGGCCAAGGAACTAAAAGTCAAAAAATTAGTCGCCTTTAATGACTCGCAGCTGATTATTCGACAAGTGACTGGGGAGTATGGTACCAAAGATGAAACTATGGAAGTATACCGTTCAGCCATTATGCACGAGGCCAGCAATTTCGATCAGATCAGGTTCACTCAAGTGCCGCGGGAGCACAATGAAGATGCCGACCGTTTGGCCTACAGTGCATCGAGCTTAAGTGAGACTTTGGCAAGGGTGATTCCAATCGGTGTGTTGTGCCAGCCATCTATCTCAGAGGAGTCGTCAAGCTCGGACCCATGGCAGGTGAACGTCATACCATATGAGCCAAGCTGGATAGATCCAATTATGGCATATATCCGAGATGGTGTTTTGCCCGAACGAAGGGATAAAGCAAGGAGGATCAGATCGAATGCTGCGAAATATGCCGTGGTACACGATTTGTTGTATATGAGGTCTTATTTAGGACCTTATCTAAAGTATGTAACCCCTGTAGAAGCTCAGCAAATATTGTGGACCATTCATGAAGATGTGTGTGGCAATCATTCAGGGGGGAGATCCCTAGCACACGAAGCAATGATGCCCATAGTATGGGTCGTCGTCCTACCATAAGCTTAAGAGTATGCATTAAGGCGAGGGCCAAGAGTTTTACATTTATAGAAGCCACTACTACCTTCGCTAAAAATATAGCTAGGGCGAGTAGGGATCGTCCCAAGGGATTATGAGGATCGAGCAATGTCGTGGGATTGTTATTAGGGCTAGTAGGTTGAATGATCAAACAATTGGTTGGTTGGTTGGTTGATTAAAGAGCAACTCGATTAAGCTAAATGATAGCAAAAGAATGCAATTAAGAGTAAGTAAGAGAGAGAGAGATCTTGGGGTTTAGAGATCACCACCAAGCAATGCATTCCTATATCATTGACAAGTGATTAATGAGGGCAAATGGTGTGTTGCAATATTGGTGTGTGTGTGTTTGGTTGATTCAACAAGTAATGATGACTAGTTAAGCATGTATTATCTAAACATCATGTGAAAAGCACAATATATCTTAACAATGAAGCATATATTGTCTAAACAACATATGAAAGGCACAATAAATCAAAACAAGTCATTAATCCTTTCATTAAGCTCACAATCCAAATATAACACAAAGTTAGAGACATATGCTACTTGCATTCAAAAGCTTGGATTATCAAACAACAAGCATAGATTGTCCTCCTATTTAACACTACACTACAACTACACTACATCTACACTACTAGCATGAAAATAAACTAGGGGAGAGGCACAATCCATCAAGAGATAAGTATGAACCATCAAGAGAATCACAAAAGCATTCCTTTAAGCACTATGTTTTGACAATCTCCAAATTTATAGCATCAATACACATAGACATGCATCAATAACACAAAATCTAGAGACAAGCACATGAACATCTATTCTAGCATATATAGACATATAGATAGAATGAAATGATCAATTGGAAACATTAAACCACATAAATCATTGAATAAACAAGATCTATATAAATCAAAGTGTCAAAACATCAATTACAACACCAATCCCTCAATAATACACAAGATTAAGATATAGAAAGCATGCTTGGGGCTAACTCTAGCCCCAAGAGGATGTCCAGCCACTCATGGCGATGTTGCTCCAACCCTCAAGGGTTAATTCCATGGTTGAAATCTGCTCCTTGTTGATGAAGAACTCCAATGGTGTCTCTAACCTCCTTCTCCTCTAAGCTTGCTCTCTAAGAGATGATATGAAAATAATGTTGGCTCTCTTTGTAAAAAGAAATCCTTATCCTTATATATGTAGGTCAAAATGACACCCAAAATGAGCTGGGGTTGTGCATACAATATTCCCTAATGATTAGATAAAGGACAACTTTCAATGAGATGGAAATTTAACTTTTTCGCACTGAAGGAAGTTCGATCGATCTAACCTTAGACTTGGATCGATCGAACTGGTTGAGATCTATCGAACTTAGGCTGGATCGATCCAACTGGCTGAGTTTTTTGGAAAAAAACAAATTCGAGATATTTTTGGGAGATATTTATGGGAAAAGGACAAAAGTGGTTAGTGGGTGGTACAGCTGTGGATAGGATCAATCATTTTAATAAGGACAAAAGTGTTTGATCGATTGAAGGATGGTGTTGGATCGATCGAACTTTTGGAACTTTATGTTTTTGGGTTAAAGCTTGGATCTATCTTGAAGTGTTGAGATCGATCATTGTTCGATCGATCGAACCTTGAACTTGGATCAATCAAACTTTGCTTCTTGTCACATTTAGCTTCATTTGCTTCCCTTTTTCTCCACTTTGCTCCTTTCTTTGTTTAACCCCATAATTGCTTCAATTAAGCTCTTATTTGGCTGAGTTAGCTTATTTTCGGGATAAGTGTCTGAAAATGGAAATAATACGAAATCAATCTAAAACGGTAAAATAAGATAGATAAAGGTACTAGAATGCCTAAGCTTAAGGAGTTTGAATACGCAATTTTCAGCGCTCATCAAATGACACAAGGGTACTTTTGGCCGAACATGTCACGGGACGCGAAGGAATTTTCGAGAAGATGCGATAAGTGCCAACGATACGGACCCCTAATCCACCAACCACCAGAAGACTTGCACGTAATGGCCAAACCATGGCCTTTCGCGCAATGGGGGATGGATGTGGTTGGACCATTACCTACCGCCAGGTCACAAAATAAGTACGCTCTGTTTGCGATAGATTACTTCACCAAGTGGGTAGAGGCTGAACCGTACCCTAGTGTCACTCAGACTCACGTGAGACGTTTCATTTGGAGTAATATCATTTGTCGGTTTGGTGTACCGAGGTCGATCATCATGGACAATAGGACTAACCTCGATAGCAAGCAGGTGAGAGAGTTACTAGAAGAATATGGAATCAATCAGAAGTTAGCAGCGGTCAGCCATCCACAGGCAAATGGTCAGGCTGAGATCACAAATAGAACGATCTTCGCTTGTATAAAGAAGAAGCTTGAAGATGAGAAAGGGAAGTGGTTGGATGAACTCCCGAACGTTCTGTGGGTATACAAAACGACACCAAGGCGATCGACCGGGGAGAGCTTGTTCGCTATGGCATATGGTACCGAGGCGGTAATACTGGTGGAGCATCAAGTTCCCACTATCCGAAGCCTAGCATGGAATCAGGAGCAGAATGATCAAATGCTGTGGTTTAACCTCAATTTGCTTGAGGAAAAGAGGAATGTTGCGGCAGTAAGGCTTGCATTATATCAGCAAACACTTATGAATAACC